TTAAGTATAAGAGCCCTTTGTTTAGGTGGACCGCTGGACTCCTGGCACCAGCTTTGGGGAGTCTTCACAGGGTCACATCTTGACCACACACACACACACACACACACGTACACGCAGACAAGGTACTCTTTGTTCACATGTATACCTGTGTAAGACGTCATGTTAATGAACTTGTGCATATTCATGTAACCACAATAAAGAGCAGTGCTACGAGGGAGCAGACGAGAGCGACTGGGGTTCGAGCAGAAGGAATGGCGCTCGTCACAGTTCTCTCCCTCGTGCACGAGATCAAACAAAGAGCTCTGCTTGGTGTCCAATGCTTTTTGCTGTTGTAGTAGGATTGTCTCGTTCCAGCGGTGGGTCTGTGCCAGACAGACCTAACAATAATTCTCTTGAACTACACTAATAATCTTTTTCTGTCAGCACATTACATTTTCCATTTATTCAAAAGGTGGAGGTGCAAAGCATTCGAATCACCTGCACCGTGTCGTCTCGTTTTGCAAACACGGTCATGTCTTCCAAGGCGCTAAACAAGGAGAACTCATCCCAGGAAATCTTTTTTGAAGTAGAGTTGCCCAAGATGGCCTTCATCACCAACTTTAGCATGTCAGTCAATAGTACAGCATTTTTGACAATGATCATAGAGCGCATCCTCCTTTAATGTTGACACATATCCTCGTGGGTCACAGGGAAATTGATGGTCAGGTGTATGTTGGAGAGGTGAAGGAGAAAGAGAGCGCCAAGGAGCAGTATGAGAAGGCTGTTTCTTCTGGGAAGACTGCTGGACTTGTCAAGTATACTGGAATAAGATTAAGATTAAACATCCCAACCTCCACCCTCAACCTGCAATAATGTAATCCATATCTATTATTGCAGGGCTTCTGGAAGAAAGATGGAAAAGTTTTCTGTGTCTGTAAACATTGCTGCCCAGAGCAGCGTGTCTTTCATTCTGATCTACGAGGAGCTCCTTCAGAGAACACTGGGCAGTTATGAGATCTTGATCCGAGTCAAAGTAGAACAACCAGTGCAGGAGTTTCAGGTAGGACTCACTTTTCACTTTTATTGTTTTTCATGATGATTAATGATGGGCTGTCTGAAGTAGTTTGTGTAAGGAACTTGCGTTGACTTAGTGAGTCTTTACGCCATAATGACCTCTTTTTTTATGCTTCATTTACTTCCATGGATGGTGTGACAGATTGAGGCAGACATCTATGAGCCTCAAGGCATTGCTTTTGTTGAGGCTTCTGCAACGTTCCTCACCAATGAGCTGATCCCTCTGATAGAGAAAACTGTCACAGACACAAAGGTGATATTTTGGCAAGATGTCTGTCCTTGTGTTTTTACAATGTAGCATTTAGGTATAAAGGATATATCTACAATAATCTAAAGTGAAATGAAACTTTTCTGTTTTTCAGGCACACATCTCATTCTCACCAACAGTGGAGCAGCAACAGAAATGTCCAGGCTGTAAGGGCTCATTAATTAATGGAGATTTCATCATCAAGTATGATGTGAAACGAGCAACAAGCCTGGGGGAAGTTCAGGTCAGCTGATGAGACAGAACTTAAAGCAGCACACAAGCAGCCTTTATCTCAGCTAAAGCACAGAATTTTGACTGATCTCAAACACACTCTTATAGACAGCAGTTTTATTTATAGAACTGGAAGCTGCAATCATTATTTTGCTTTTAGTCTTACGTTTACTTCCCTAGCTGTATTTGTCTGCTATACATTTCCTTGCTCATCTTAACCCAAAGTACTCTTTCCCTTCAGGCAGTAAATGGATACTTTGTGCACTTCTTTTCTCCCCCTGACCTGGCCAGAGTCCCAAAGAATGTGGTGTATGTAATTGACACTAGTGGATCGATGCATGGAGCAAAGATTGAACAGGTAGGGGACTAATTAGAGGCAAATTACATACTGTATGCATGACAGTGTGTTCATCTCCATATATGTTTTGTAAACATATAAAGACCCGAGAATCAATGGTTGCCATTCTGCAAGACCTTCACGAAGAGGACCACTTTGGTATCCTCCTGTTTGAGCGTAAGATTAGTTACTGGAAGGATTATCTTACCAAAGCAACAAAGAGAAATGTTTCTGACGCCATTGACTATGTAAAGAAAATACAGGACAGTGGAAGTAAGTATTGCTGAATTTTAT